CGGGAGGGTAGGAAAAGACAAGGGGTGCGAGGATCTCCTGCAGTTCAAAGATTTCCGTCGATATTCGCCTCCCTAAGCGGGGGATAGGTAGTCAGGGGATCCGCTTTGATCCTGCTACAGGACAAGAACTGAACTGTCAGAAAACGGACTGCTCTTGCGGGTGCCGCGTTGAACTCTTAAACCCAGCGCCCTGGTACCTGCAGCCCTTCCCTGAAGAATTGCACCCATCCGTTCCAGCAGTCCCCATGGACCGCGGAGAAGTCCGTCAAGGCTTTTTTTTTTTTTTTTTTTTGGAAGAATCACCCGCGATGTCGCTAGCGGTGCTGACAAGAGCAGACACCTCTAGGGCCCTCGGGGAGGCTCCATCTATTGGTGGGGAGCGACACCTGCTGGAAACCGAGTCCAGCGTCCCTTACATCCATCATTGATTAATCAATATTGTTTCCTCAACTTTCTAACCTAAGGATCCCTCTTCGGTCGAATTTTTGACCGTCAAATAAAAGTGATCTATCTAGCATCCTTTGACTAGGTCTTCCACTCTCTATCCTTTCCCCTTAACCTTCTTCTCCTCCCCCAAACCAGTCCATATCTACCAAAGCAAGTTCTGACTGAGGAAAAGGGTCTGGAAAATAAGTTGGTGATCTCAATGAAGCTCCCGGTTGAATGTCATACCAATAAAAAAAGTTGAGCCGATAGTCCCTCCTGAACAACACCTGATCCTCATCCCCCCCTGGCCAGATTACCTCTCCCAATTTCTCCCTCGACACATCCCCCAGCCATTCCACTTTGAATTTCAAATTTTTTTGCTTAATGTCCTCTTTTTGTTTGAATTGTATAAGTTTATCTTTCAACCTTTCTCATTGATCTCTTATTTCTGTCTGAATAAACTGTTGGATTACCTCTGTCATTTCCTTTCCTTCCATCCTTACTTTTCCAATTGTTAATACACATTTTTTTTGCCATAAAGCCCATAAAACTGCTTTTCTGCCTAATTGAAAGAAATTTTGTTGAAATAGTGATAATTCAATTAATACCGGATTCCAGTATCCCAACAAAATCGCTCTCTAATCCCATGGTCATTCTAGACCCGTAATCCTATTTCACACATAGTCCCACCGTCGCCATGTCATAACAGAACTCGGACATTGCAAGAAGATGTGTTCTATTGTTTCTCTTAATTTCCTACTAGGAAAGGTCTGGACAAAGGAGGTACACCAAGGTAACGCTACACCCTTTTGTTCCAGTGAAGAATGATCTATTAACCAATCATTTGTTGGTAAACACCTATGCATTATCTGCCATTGTAAGGATGCAAACTTGGCAGGCCTTTCTTTTGAACTTTGAAACCATCTTACTTGTTTAATAAATTCCTCATATATGTTAAGATGCCTACACCAACGTTCTCTTATGATATCAGCCACTTCTACTTTAGGACGCAGTAATCGATAAGAGGCCTTAACTGACAAAGACTATAATTTTATGGGTTTACTCCTCTTATTCCCCCTCCAGATCCACTCTTCCGGATCCAGTGGTAGATCCTGAATAGGAATATATGGGAGAAACCCTGTCCATTCTTTTGTTGAGGTACAGTATAAGGCTCTTATTTTGTACATTTCATGAAAAGGGGAAAATGATACTTCATCCTGATCCTTATTGGGGATTGTATTATCCTTACGGCTCTTAAATACATTCACCAATGCCCCCTCTTTGTGAACTTCCAAAATTTGACCAACTGTCTTGGTCCCATCCTGCACGTTCATACAAACCCAGTCTGTCTTCCTAAGAACCGGTCCTTTTTTTAATGCCCTTCTCCATGCCAGAGGAACAACAGATATTAAATCCTCCAAACTTTCTTGTAATTTGTGTGCATATTTAATCTCATTTCTGATTTTATCCACTGTTTTCCAATTTCGAATCTCCTGATCCCATAAATTTTTGATTCTTAAAATATCATCCATCTGGGAAACGTTTTGAGTCTCAGTTCACGCCTCAAAGACAGCAGGCACTGGCCCACTCCTCTGGTGTCGGAGGAGTGGGCCGAAATCCGACTGAGGTGACACTTGATGATAGCGATCTTCTAGGTTTTCGGTCCATATGACCCGTAGTCCTGGGTGGACTGAAAGGTGATTCTGCTCCTGTCCCATATGTCCTTTTGATTCTTCATCAGTGCCTCACAGTGGATCTCAGGCGGGTGTTCTTGGGTGAGTACTCGGCAACCAAAAAACTCGAAAGCCCCATCCCTTTTATCAGTCCTAACCAAGGTAAGGTTGTTATTGTAGATGAGATGAAATTTAGAAAACACCCCCCTTGCACGGTCTAATTCAACCTGGGAAGAGTTTTAAGAAGGAGAAACACAGCAACGTCATCAACCAGTCGTAGTCTAGTGATCAGATGTCTGTCTTTTCCGAGGGAATCGAGGAAGATGAATTCCTAGTGAGCGCAGAGTAGGCAGGCGAGGGAGGGACTTGAGCTCTTTCCTATAGGGATACCCACAATTTGTCGGATGATGAAGGAGGAGACCTTGGAGAAGGAGTGCTGTAAGTCGAATTTGACAAAATTGATGAGAAAGGAGAACTTAATTCTAGCCCAGCCTCTCTCCCCAAAACCTTTTCCCAGTACTAATCCTTTACCACGTTTATTGATCCTGGTTGCGTTGTGACCTTTTGACAAGCAGAAGTCACACAACCATTCAAGTGCCTTAATGATCTCATCGTGCGACAGTTTAGTGAACATTTTCTTAATATCGAAGCTGGATGACAGCAGTATACCGTTTCTCATTTTCCCCATCTTCTGATCAAGAATGACAATCCTTTTCTTCAAAAGATTCGTACTTTTTAAGTTGAAGTGGGAGGACGCAGGAATTCGCCATAGCAAACCGTTGATTGTCTTCGCGACCAACTTGCAGACTTTAATGTTTGGTTCAAAGAAGGATGGAGCTATCGGTCTCCATCTACTAGTGTCCTTGTGTTTAGGAATCTCGTATGCTCTACCCAGGCTACCTTTACTTTTCCAGGGAGCCAGTTTCTGAGCCTCTATTTCGAGATATCCGGCCTTGCATGACTGGAGAATCTAATCCTCAGATCGTTGTTCAACAGTAAACCCTGTACTTCCCCAGTATAACCCTTCTAGTGCTTTGTAGTAAATAGTATTGCAACAGACAAAAGAATCGCCTATATTGCGATCAAGTGGAGCGATCACTAATTCCTTTAGCATCCCCTTCCATGTGCTCAGGTCCTCCGATCCACTTCTTGTCTTCATAGGTTTCTCAGAAAAAACAGGAACGCAACGCATTATACCCACAGACATAATCATCAGCCCATAGAACAGTAGCTAGTCCGTCTTGTAGAGCCCTTTTCAGCCTACCCACAGAGTCGGCTAAGCTAGGTGGTAGTATATTGTTGACATTCTTAATGGATTCAGGTACTACCTCCATTTCAGAAAATCGGCACGTAACGTGGCCATCCGCATCCCTTGGGAGTAACTCACTTGCATTTGAGCATGAGCATTCCATCGTTACATCCTGCGACATCTTCCTGTGGTTATGCAATTCATCAGCCACAGACCTGTTTGCGGTCCAAACCACCTTCATCCTAAAGATGATAAAATCCGAGAGAGAACTGTTTTGACAGCGTTTGCGTATGGCGATTTTCTCCAAGTCTGCCACTTTCCTCTTCGATATGTGTTCATCATAAGTGACTCTAATGACCACAGGAGCCAAACATCTAAACCCGCATCTTTTGGTGAGTGCATTACCGACCACTCCCTTCAATATTGTTTTTGACCGATCCTTGTGGAACAGCTCAATAGAGTTGTATAGCTTAATTAGGTAGTTTAAGTCCGTCTTATAGAGATCTCTTGTGGTGCTAGGCACTTCTAGTAGTGTCGTCAGGATGTCCCATCGAAGGTTGGTCATGTTTCCTCTGCGTTTAATCCTTAAGAAAACGAACACGCCCCCCTTACAACACTGGTTTTTAAGGTACTTCAAAACTGTTTTCCTTCCATCATATTCGACTACAGACCAGCCGAAGGAGCGACTGATCTTGCCCCAAGAGTCAGAGAACCAGTCACCCTGGAGGCTAGCAATGATCAAGTGGGATTCCCCCTTGTTCAAGACTTCATTCAGAATGTTTACAAGCGAGTAAGATGCAGAGGAAGCGTCCCACGAGTCAGGAATAGGGAGAGACACGGAAGAAGGTATGGACTTATTGTGATTTGGTATTCCTGCCCCTCGTTTCCTAAAAAACGACATTCTTTCCCTTTTCCCTTTTCTCTTACAATGTCGTCTTCTCCGTTTGACACAGTTCAGAACCAGGGACCATTTTGAAATCAGAGTGCTCTTAACATTTCTAATTTCATCAATCGACGGGAAGGCGATGGGAATGGCAACATAACTACTCCAGTGCATGCGCTGGAACCATCTGCGCAACCTATGGTTCCTACCATCGCCACTTTGTAACGATCTTCTGACGTGTTCTTCCCATCTTATCCCCAGACTTCTCGTAGTCGACCCAATGTATGTAGCCTTGAACCACGGCGACACTAAAATATACACACACGGGCCATCAAACTCGCACAATCTAGCCCCATCACCCAATAACGTTCCCCATTCATCAACGTATTTTTCAGTCCAGCTCAAAAGATGCGAAAAAGCCAAAAATAAGACAAAAAAACGCATCAGCTGATCTAACCCCCGAGCCTCCTTCCCCCGCCAACCCACCTTTCGTCTCTCACTCCTTACTTTTTCTAGATCCGTCCATGCGGAGGGAGCCACCAAGGATCATTAAGAGGGATTCTCCTCTTGGATCTCCTCCTCAGATTCATCCTCCCCATCTTCCTCGCCGTAGGCGTCGATGCCCCGCAGACGAGCCAGCACAGCGCTGGTGAGTTTTTTATTCACATACTTGATCTTGTCTTTCTTACACAGTTCCTCCAGCTCGTGCTTCGTCTTGTTGAACAGTACTTCTGTCAAATCCTCCACGTATTTCCATCTGCCTTCTTTACCAGGTCCTGCCACCGCTGCTTTATTTCCTTTGTTGATCCGGTCAAAGTCGAGCTCCTGCGATCCAACGCCTTCGTTAATGGTAATCCTGCTGGAACGCCTTCTGGTGTTGTGTGCCACCGAAGCAAACATCCCTGCCAGCCTTGCCGAGAAGTCACCGCCTAACGGTGTCTCCATGTTAACGGACTGCGCTCTGGCCGGTCCAGGTGCCGTTGCTGCATTACGTAGGTTGGGGCTGGATACGGAAGGAGGAGGGGGAGGAGAAGAAGGAGGTGGAGGAGGATGAGAAGACGGGGTAGCAGGCGCTGTGGCAGGGGGAGGTGGAGGTGGGGGTGGAGGTGGAGCCAGTGGAGTCGGTGGAGGAGGATTAGGGGGAGGATTTTGAGAAGGGTGTGGGGCCAGTGCCATCACAGGTGGGATAGGTGGGTGTACGGGAGGAGGATTGGCTGCAGCGCTGGCACCCTGTTCGCGAATAGCCTGCAAGCAGGTTAGCATTTCTTGGAACATCACGGCTTGCGCTTCCTGCGCCCTACGCACGGAGTCAATGTCCATACGAATCAATCCGGCGTCGAGAGGAGTAGCTGTGGTTTCCACCCTGGGCCTGCCTGCTTCCTGTCGCGGAGGGTTCCCCGATCCTTCTGCCAAGGTACCTTGATTCTGCTTCTTATTGTCGCTCTCTCTCTCTCCGCCTTTACTATTATCACCGTCTTTCGTAGTCGGATCTACCTTATCCCAATTACTCCTGGCGATCCCAGCTGCGTCTCCTTTCTTCTTGGCTTCCAATTCCTCCATCTGCTCACGAATGATTCGGGCCAGCCTTGCCTCCCTCTCCGCTTCCCGCTTCTCCTCTTGCTCCAACCTTCGTTCTTCTTCCTCACGCGCCAGCCTGGCCTGTTCTTCACGTGCGCGCCGATCCTCCTCTTCTCGCCTCCTCTCCCTTTCCTCACGTCGTTCGTTCCAGATCTCTCTAAGGATCATTAGCCCTTCACCTTCGCCGCTTACCTCCCGTGGTCTATTGTTCCAGCCTCTTCCTCAGTTGGCGCTCGATGCTCCACGTGGCGGTTGGTACGAATTCACCGGTGCGGCCTGGTACGGTACGATGGCGTTACTTGCTGAAGGCTGCAGCGGCGGGGCTTGCAAGATCGGTGCTGGAGGGGCTACCATAGCTGCTGCCTGATTCGGTAGAGGAGCAGGAGGAGGTAGAATAGGTCGCCCTTGGATCGGGATCTCATTCCCACCCATTCGAGGAGGAACGTACCCATCTCCTCAGGGAGAGCCCGCGTACCCATTGTTCCTCGGAGGGTATGGACACCATCAAGCGAAGTGCCCATACATACCGCAATTGTAGCAATTGCGGTTGGGGCCGCCGTACCCTCCGTCCGCCATTTCAATCCTACACTCTACGGAAGTCGAACTCAAAGTAACTGCTCCGATGAACTATTCCCGGCGCTACTTCTCCGCGCTCTGCGTAGCTGACTGAGAATCTACGTTCTTCCGTGCAGAAGAATTGATAAGATAGGATACCCAAAGAAGTCGAGAGGAGGAGGGAGGGAGGGAGTAGAGGAGGAGATGAGCAGACGTAATAAGCACGGTGGCGCGCATACGTGTGTCGAAAAATCGAAGATAGTAATTCTTGTATCGTCACCGGATCAAAAAACTTGGTTGAACGCTGGCGTCCCCACCACTCCGCGGCTGTCACGGTGGTTAGCACGCTACTGCAAGACGTGAAGTCGGTTGCATGCACACAGTCTTCGAGCACGAGGCTCAGGTGAAAGTGCGCTCAAACTGGCAAGTAGAATCGTCGTACTCATCAGATACCAAAGAG